GTTTTCCCCAGCTAGCTGAAAGCTGTAGGGGTTCTAACTTCTAATAACTGCGGGTTGTCAGGTCAATATGACCTACTCGAGCAGAACTTGTGTGCAAAAACGCCCGCAACGCCCCGCAAAACGAGCGCAAAAACCCGCAAACGAGCGCAAATTTGAAAAACCTCGGGCACTTGTTCATTGCTCGGGCAGAAATTGAAGAATGGGGAACAAACTGTGCGTTTGAGCAGAAAAACAAGCAAGCAACAAAAAAGGTATGGTCCAGGTTAGTTTGAGAGTCCCCTATTGTTTTCCAGCGCCGGGGGTATCGTTTTTTTTTTTTGTTTTTAAAGAGTCCCCTGTCGTTTGCCATGGTTTTCAATATCAACGAAACACCGACTACTAAAGTCAACAGAAGTAATTTTGATGGTACTTCATCTGGGGTCTGTGCTGGTGTCATGTTTTCTTCAAAAGGCGGAGTTTTCGTGTCCTCCAGGTGGCACAGCTGATGGCAGCGCTGTAGGTGATGATATTCTTCTGCAGCCCCATAGGCCCGCACCGCGCCAGCAGCTCCATGGCCCACACCCAGGCGTTGCCCTCTGGTGCGATTGAGGTCTTCCCCCCCGCCCCCCCCCCTGATAGAAAATGAGAATATTTTCAACATTTCCAGGCGGAGCCCCAAACTCAGAACCATTCTGTTGGGGGTTGAACATTCTGAGGGGAAGCCGCCAACAAGCGATGCCAATGATGTGCCATCGCAGTGTGTACTGCAAAAAACGACTTTCCAAACCCTGAGAAAGCATGAATCCCAACTTGGACCCAGCCCCCGCACGCGCACGGCGCTACATGCGACCAAACATACCCCTCGGGCCCTGTTTGCGTCCCAGTCCGCTGATGGGAATTCAATGACGAGTTGTAGACTATGCACCACCCTATTGGTGTTTCCTTGCTTCAGGCTGCCTTTTTTGGGGGTCGGTTTTGAAGGGAAGCTACATCAAAGGGACTGTTTCCATTTAGGAATCGTTTCATCCCCGCTTCAAACAGAGCCGCAGCCCAAAGTGAAGTCCCTTGAAATTGCCCAACAAGTGATCTTAAACCCCCAAGTACGAAGCCCCGGCTTGCGGTCTCAAAGCACCTTCTCGCAGGCACTGATGGCCGCGGAGATGGTGACCACGGTGCCCTGCCTTGGCTTGCTGGGCTTCTGGGGCCTGATTAGTCAGCCCGAGTTCAGTGGCCCGGAAGAGTTGCCCCGAACCACGCGTGCGGCAGCACATCGTTTTCCAGAAACGGCTGGGAAGGCATAGGGCCCCACAGGAGAAACAAAAAGAGCCATGAAGATGTAAGGGATTCAGGTTCCCCAGTTCCATTTGAACTAGTTGTCCCACAGCATGACAGCATGGTGAACTCAAACCGGCGTCCCTCACATCCTGACGCGGTTGGGGGCTTTTCCGGGCTGTTTGGGATGGAGGATTCCTACTCCGCAGTGGGACGCTCTACTACAAGAAGGGAGATCACTACCAGCTGGCATAGACCTTGCGAATTCTCGAACATCCCAGCGAAGACTTCTGTACCATGAAAGAAAGGGCAGGTTCCCTGCTATGAACCCAGCCAGGCCCACCAGAAGTTGGAACCAACCCCTTATTTCCGCAACCTTGACGACTGCTCTTCGTTGCAAAGCGAGCTGCAAGCCTTGCGCCTCCAACGCCGCCAGCAGTGCCAGAGCCTGCTGCCAGCATCCGCACTTCTCGCAGGCGCTGATGGCTGCGTTGTAGGTGATTACATCCTTAGCCAACGGACCTGGAATCACATTTACCGATTCAGAGCCACAGCACTTCGGGGGCGGGGGGGGGGGGTCCATCCACAGTAGCAAGGGGAGCCATTGCCATAAGAAAAGTGGCGATTCGGGGCGAAGGACCAAGGGCCATGAACTTCCCATGGCTCCCCTTGCTGTAGCTCTGAATTGGTAACGTGTGATTGTCACCAGCCTGCTTTGTACGAGTCTTCTTTGCAGTTGTCGTCCGTGGCCTCTCCATGGCTCGCAAACCAAATAACCAGCAGGAATGTCAAAATTGCAATTCCGAATTCCAAGGTGGCAACGCGTGCCCCTATGGCAAAGCAAACGGGCCCGGACAGGGGAGCCCAACCCCCTGCAACAGGTGGACCCTTGCGCCCAGGTTTTCCCCTCAAGTACAAACGAACTCAAAGCTTCTTCGAGAGCCTTTGGGATAGGCTTCAAAACTAAGGGGCCTAGAACGTCTCGCCATCAGGGCTTTTGGGGTTCGTCTATCTTCACAAAAGCAAAAGCAACTAATCAAGCTTCTCAGGCTTCCGGTTGCTTCTATGATTGGTTTGGTATGCTTTTTGTTTGGCTTGCTGGCACTAAGTGTGTGCCCCCAGTGAAGTGGTGTGGCCTTCTTGTTAAACATCCTGTATTTACATGTCTCTGGAATTGGGAGGGCTTTCTCCACGAAATTTCAATGCGGAACTTCAGCCGTGCTTTCTGTGTCCACCAAACATTACTTGATGATTGCCCCTGGCGATCTGCAACAGCGACTGGAATCATTGGGCGGTACAACTGTCACCTGCAAGGGTGCTCTTGAGGCATGGCAGAGGTTGAAACCAGTGTCAAAACCTGGCAAGGCTTATCTTTATACCCCTTCCAAAAATGATGATGGAAGCTCAGGAAGACTACGGTCTCAAAAAGGCCCCCTTCTCACTGAACTCCAAGGCGTTTCCCCTAAGAGCGAGATCCCAGACCGGGTCCATTCAAATGACATCCACAAACTTGCCCTCTAGACAGCGTTGTTACAGGGAAACCATTCCCGACAAAGAGACCACCCGAAGTGATTTCACACTTCCTGAGTGAATGGGTCAAATAAGCTCAGGCGATATCCCCAACAGCAGCGCTTTTTAGTGCTCCACCCCGCAGCCCTCGAAGAACCCCGTGGAACCCTCGTGGAACCCTGGTGGAACCCTCGTGGAACCCTCGTGGAACCTTGCCTCAGGGCCGCCCCGGACCACCCCGGAGCCTATCTGGGCTGAGACCCCAAAGCTTTCAGCTGTTGGGGAAAAAAAGTCCTAACTGTCCATTTGCTACTAAAATTGATCTTCCCAACAAGTATAAACTTCAGGAACTCAGGACGTGAGATTTTGAGCCCCCCTCAGCTTCGTTTTGGCGAGCATCCCCCAGCCCGCGGCCGCGGCAGGTCATCAGCAGCTGCAGGGCAAGCTGCCACTCCCCACCTTGCCCCCCGCGCACTTCTGTGTTGCTCCACCCCCTTCTGGGCCAAAGCTCCAAGGGGAAAAAAATAGTTTGTCTTTGTGTTTGCAAAAATCCTGCAACAGCCTCTGGGCGTCTATGCGTTTGGTTGGCGGGAGCAATTTTGCTTCCAAAGGTCTGAGGGGCGATTCGGGCACACCAAAGACCGGCCATGTTTTCCATCAATCATGAATGCTGCCGACAAAGGAATGTACTTTTCCACTATCTTGCGCTTTTTTGGCCTCAGACCTTCAAAAAGGAGAAGAAGTCGCTATCCTCTTTCCAACAATCGTGAAAGCTTTGGAAAACGACGGTCCTCTTGAAAAGGCACTCTATCCACTTCCGCAATTGTCCGCAAGATGGTACCTGGGTTCGTGCCTTCAACATTTTTGGGGTTTCCGTGTTCAAGCCCACCACAAAAAGGGCGCCCTCAAAAAAACAAACTGGCTCTTCTGTTGCTGTCCCTTAAGGCAAGCCTCGAAAAACATAAATTCCCGCACGTGGCTTGCGCTTGGGAACCTCTTCTTGGTTCCGAATGCCATCCATTCCCCTCATCATTTGATCCCCGAAATCCTGCCAAACACCCTCCTGAAAATTAAGCATTTGAATTGAACTGGCGCGGAGTCTTTCCGTAGGGGGCCGCCAAAAAGAACCAGAGAAACCACTGCCATCTGGTGTAAGTGCCAAGGGTTATGGATGGATTCTAACCCAGAAAACCCATGGATTGTTGTTTTCACCAACCAAACCTGGTGTAAACACCGAGGATTCTGCATGGATTGTTGTTTTCACCAACCATGGAGGGGCTTTCCCACAAACGAATTGCACCGCCAGGGGGAAACCTACGATCCGCTCCAATTGGGCCGACGCCAAGAGGCTCTTCTCGCAGGCGCTGATGGCGGCATTGAAGCTGGTGAGGTCGGGACTCGCCTCCTTTTGGCCAAAAACATGAAAGGGTGGAATGACTAGGTCCTCCAGCAGTTTGAGGTTGGAATAAGGGTACCAACTTTCTTTTTTTTGGTCTAGTTTAGTAGGGGAACCCTCCCCCAAAAATGGGCAAGAGGGCACTACTGGAATGCATTCGGGGAAAACAAAAAAAACAAAAAAACAAAAAAAACAAAGCGACATGTCCCCCCCTTGTTTTGAGGACTGAGCAGCCGCGATTGGAGGGAGTCCATTCAACTCCTCGAAATACGACGCCCGCCTCCAGCAGCTCCGCCAAGAGCAGCAAGGCTTCTTGCCAGCGCCGGCGCTTCTCGCAGGCGCTGATGGCCGCGTTGAAGGTGATGCTGTCCTAGAGACAAACTGCAGGCTGGGTGCTTGGGTGCTTGGGTGGTTGGGTGGTTGGGTGGTTGGTAAGGGTGGTATGTGTGGTAAGGGTGGTAAGGGTGGCGAGGGGGGTAAGGGTGGTAAGGGGGGTAAGGGTGGTATGTGTGGTAAGGGTGGTAAGGGCGGTAAGGGTGGTAAGGGTGGCAAGGGCGGTAAGGGCGGTAAGGGTGGCAAGGGTGGTTGGTAAGGGTGGTAAGGGACTTGAATGCAACAGGAAACAGGTCATCCAACAAAAGATGCTGCTTGGTTGGTTGGTTGGTTGGTTGGTTGGTTGGTTGGCTGGCTGAGGAAAACAGAAAGGCTCCAAACCAAACACTTTGGCCCCCTGCAAAGAACCTACCAAAAAGATGTGCCTGGGGGGTCCTCTAAGGTCGAGACAAAGCCCACAAGACTGGGCTCGGCGACCTTTGGTTACTTGGGTCATCCAGCCTCACCTTTGAATTTGTTCTTGCCCAAGCGACCCAAAAAAGAGTCAAACAAATCTCGTTCTGCAAGAGCGTGCCTCAGAAGGCGGAAGGCCGCGTAAACTTTTGGTACCCCGAACACTTTGAACTCGAAAATCACACTTGTCATATCAACACGGGGCATTCCAGGACTTGATCACCAAGGGGATTCCCTTAACTTGGTATCGCAGAAAGTGGCAATCTAAAGCCCGCTTCCACATCCATGAGTTTGAAAGCTTGCGATGGTGTCCGAAAAGCGCCTTCGGTAACAGTAAGAAGCATGCCGGCCAGGCCGTAAAACAAGTCGGAGTCCCATCCAAACCCCGACAATGTGCAACAAGGAAGAACATTTTGACAAACACAACCAAACTCACATCCCAAGACAATCTCTCCTTTCTGGTGGCGGAAAGAAACACCTCGACCGAAAGGAAGCTTTCAGAAGCCTCCAACCATAGGTGTCTTCTTTGGTAAAATAGATGGCCCTGGCAGATGATTGAACCATCAGGTACACCAGGAATCGCCCCCCTTTTTTTTTTTAGCAAACCAACCAAAAAGGACACCTATGCCTCCAACAGTGACAGCCAAAACGAGAACGATCCCCGGCCCAAAGCCGACTCTCCGACCGGGCAAGCCCGCCTGGCGCAAGCGCAGGCGCTGGGTTTGGCGGAGCACGGCCAGCGCCAGCTGCCACTGCCCCGCCTTCTCACAGGCGCTGATGGCCGAGTTGTAGATGATGATGTTGGGCACCAAAGACAACACCTGAACACACACGCACAAGTTTCTTCGGCACAAGCCACGAACAACCAATAAAAACAACCAAGAAGACAAGCGGAAACAAAAAACACCAATAAGACATTAGTTTCTTGGACATACACCACAGGTGCATCATGAAATAGGGATCAAAGAAACAAACGTTCACACGTGTGTGTAGGTGTAAGAATTTTGCATGAAGCAAAGCAAGTCTCATGCGCTTTTGGCGCATCGACCAGGTTTCTCCCTTTAGTTTAAAAATGGTCAGGTTAATGAGGTAGGTGGCTAGCAGCCATGCTTATAGCCCACCGAACAGGAACTGTAACCATGGTAGGTTATATTATCCATGAACCGGTGATTAACCCCTGACTAAGTGATTGCCTTGGATTGTTTGTGTTCCCGTGTTTCTGGATGTCGACTAAAAAGGGAAGGTGCGAGATCCACTAAACAACTGAGCCGTATTTCCCCCGTAAAGCCGAACACTCACCTGCACTAACCCCCTTCACGGGCGGCTAAACAGAAGCTCTGGACAACATAAAGCTAAGACCGGGTCCATGCCGGTTTAGTTTCCCTGGAATTTAAGACGGGCGCATCATTTTTGGAGTTGGTACTCTTTTTGGATGAAAAAGGGAAACCAACAAGAACACACCACCATTTTGGGTGCGCCAAAAAACATCCGACAACAACAAATCCGACACCCCAATCCTAGCTTGCTTGACGTTGGAAGGGGAGCAACAGCTAAGTGGGGGATTTCCCACTAAACCACAATCAGCCAAAATTTAAAATGTGTCCCAACCACAACCATGACTAACCTGACTGAACCAACCCCCAACTCGGTGCTTTCTGCTCCCCTGCTAAAAGTTTAACCTTTAAGTGGTTTCGTCCGGGAAGCCCATGCTACCATCCAAACAAAATGCCCAAACCCCAAGCCCCGACCTCCAGGTCTGCCAGCAGCTGGATGGCCTGCCGCCACCTGGCCGCCTTTGCGCAGGCGCTGAGCGCCGTGCCCAACGTCACCACCGTGGGCTGCAGGCGCCGGCGGTGAAGGCCCCAGGCCAAGGCCTCGGGTCGCCGGCGGGTTTGGAGGTGAGTTTTGGGTGGGGTTTAAGGGAAGCCACAAGAAAAACAACGGGTTTTTAGGGGAAACCACCGTTTTTTTTAAGGGAGGCCAAAAGGAAAACCACCGTTTTTGTGGGGGGGGGGGGGCCCAAGGGCAATTAAGCTGATCAGATTGGGTTGAGAGGGAAAATCGGACCTAAAGTCACATGTGTTTGGGTCCCCTCTCAATTGCGACATATACCCATTTTGTGAGATTCTAAAACCATGTAAACTCATTGAAAAATGACCCCACCCCCCTGCCGTTTTCCGGAAAAGACAAACGTGGGAACCTCAAGGCCAACACTTGTGGTGGGGGGATGTGCTGTACATCAGCATGTTCACGAATTTACACCAACAATGGCAACACTCGGGATAAACCGAAGGCCTTCTTTTCGGTTTCGCCGAACAAACCCCCTGCCAAAAACTCACTGCTTCTGTTCTCTGGCGAAACCCGCCCCTACCCCCCCAAAAAAACAACAACATGAAGGACACGCAAGAGGGTTTCCTTAAGGCATGCCAAGAATGAAAACTGGGCCGAGACGCCACTGCCACCCGCCACTTCTTCGCCTCCGCCGCCACGGCCATGGCAGCGGTGGTCAGCAGCACCGCGCCAGACGTCCTTCGCGAGGTGTCCACCGAGCTCGGAGCCTGCCGGGCGGCGCGGCGGCGCCCGTTTTGGGTGGTTCCCTTGTTGGAAGGTGGGAAGCCAAAAGGAAACCATAATTTTGGGGATTCCATTTTTGGTTCCATACTTTTGGTTCCATACTTGTTGGATACTTTTTGGGTCCATAATTGTTGGTTCAATATTTGTTGGGGAAGCAAAGGAAACCGGTTTGGGGGTTCCATAATTTTGAGACAAACCCGGAAAAACATCCAAACCCAGTACAGATCGACTCTAGGCAGCCCCAAACTGGCCAACTGCTTCTTTGTCGACAGGGGGGTTCGACATGGGAATAGGGCTGATGATTTGTTTCTTTCCAACCCCAGGGTTCGTTTAATTTCACCCTGGTCCGATTTTGAGTTTAAAAGTTAGTTGCCGCAAATGGCCGCCTGGTCAAAAGGATTTGGACTGAGGCAGTTAAAACGGTCTCGTCCGTAGCCAGGGCGGCAAAGCTGGCAACCGGAAAAAACGCTTTTGCTCTGAAAAGGGCCTTCCACACCACGATAGGTGGATTGGTAGAGGAAAGCAGCACCTATATGCGGGTTACTCGTGTCGCAAGGCCAAAGGCCATGCCAAACGGCGCCTGGGCGCCTTTTCTACGAATGCCAGCCCGAAAATCATTAACCGCAAATGGGAAAGGTACCCCGCCACCCCGGATCAATCCACCAGATGGATCAATAGAAAACTTCGCTCTCAAATCATGACTCCTCTTCTGCTGGGGTGTACCCACAGCTTCGAGCCGCGGGCCACCAACCCAAAAAAGATGTTCCTTTGATTGGGGAAAGTATTCATCCTAGGACCCCATTCATGGACAAATGCCTTTTTACGCCCAGCTTTTCTGAAAATGCTTCCTGCAATTGAAGGGATTTGAAGCCAACTCCGTCGCTGACCTGCTGAACTTGCTGGCCAAAAGCGGCTTCGATTGCTTGGCCAAAAGCTCCAGGAGTGGGGACCCCACCCACCACACGTCGCTCGCCGAGCCGCGGCTAAGGCGGGCACTGGTACCAACTTGGGGAAGCCAAAAGCTCCAGGAGTGGGGACCCCACTCGCACACGTCGCTCTCAAGGCGATGACCAGCGCCGTCTGCCACGCCCCGCAGGCCTTGCACGCGCCGCGCGTGACGAAGCGATCGAAGTCCAGCGCCAGCATGGACTGCCACTGCCGACTTCTGCCGATGGCATCCACGCGCTCCTCGCTGGAGATATGTGTCCGAGGAAACACACAAATAAGTCCGGACATGGAGAACTTGGCCTCTGCTTTTTTAAGGTTGACTCGTGCAATGGTAGATTTGTCTGGAGGTGGCGGCCTTGGGGGGGTGAAGGAGAATCGCGAGGGGCGCGCACACTGTTTGGGTACGTCATTTCGGTACAATGCCGTGTGTGTGTGTGTAACTTGCTTGTTCTCACTGGGGTGGGGATTCTCAGTCATTTCCATGGAAAGAAAGGGAAGGCTGACGGGCATCGGCAACCAAACATTCCTTTAACGCTTTTGCTGGTGGCCCGTAGAGGGCGAGTTTGCAAGGCACCGCCCTTCGATTGGCCACCCATCACTGCAGCCAATAAGAAAAGCGCAATGGACTTTCCTCGTTCCTGACGTGGAGCACACAAAAATAAAGGAAGAGAGGCGGAACAAATCCATCGAGGGTCCAGGAATCTTGCCACCCCAGCTCCTTTGTTGAGGCACTCCTTTTGGTGTTGTGTTGAAGGAAAATCAAGGGGAAACCCACGCCGGAGCCGCTTCCGTTCCTGGAAAGAATGCGCAAGGCGCCCCTGGAATAAATTACACCAGCATATGCCCCAAGTAGCGTAGAACAGGTCGAGGATTGCACACTGCTCGTTGGTGGCCAGATCATATCAAATTCAGGGACTCCTGAATGTAATTGAAAGGACAACAACCCGAAGCGCTTGTTTGCTCCATTTTGTTTTCCGGTGACCTCAGGCAAAAGGCAAGAAGATTCACTGTGAATCCCCACCGGAGCCGACCCCGAACCCTCAAGCCAAAGACCCGAACAGGGAAATCAACCATCAACGTTGGAACACAGGGCCCATTGGCGGTGGAAAAAAAAGGTACATGAGGGAAACTACCTTTGATCTTTCAGGATCTTCCAGGATCTTCCAGGACCCTGGAAAAGTAGGCCATTGGCTCGTTTTCCTTTTTCAACCAAGAGCAAAATCAAGAAGGGCCCTGTTTTTTTACGCGCTTCTGGAAGACCAAGGTACCTTTGGTCCATGGGCAACACCAAAACTCTCCACCCACCCTGGGCCCCATTGGCGCATATTGGCGCCGAGCGTCCGGCAGCGCCTGCGCCAGCCGAAGCATCTGCTCCCAGACCAACTCCGCCTCCGTCCGCCCAAAGGCGGCGAGCGCGGCCTGGCGCAGCACGGCATCGGCCCGTAGGCGGTGAAGCGCCAGGTTGTGGAGGTACCTCTGGGTGACATGCCGGAAAAAAGAAGAAGCAGGGGAACGAGGGTCCAAAGAACTCACTCCAAAAAGAATGGGTGGGAGGAAGCTTCCAAAGTCTTCCAAAGATTGTCAAAATGACCGGGGCGCCACAGCCTTGAGCAACACCGAACCAACAAGAACAAAAGACCAAACCGAAACAGACAACCAAGCTTCGCAGAACATTCGATGGACTTTTTTGCCCTTGACCCCAACAGAATATTGCTTGAAGGCAGAAGCCCATTGAATCATTGGCCCATCTGGGCCCTCAGGGCCTGAAAAGCTGGACTCGCTTTGGGCTAAGGTGCTGCACTGCAAGGGGCCAGGCATTTGCGGCTCTCACCGCCGAAGTGGTAGCCACAGCATCTGCCATGTTCGAACTCTGCAAGCCTCTCTCCGGGTCAGCGGGGCTTGGCCCAACCGACTCTGGGGTACTTTCAAACATGTGAACCTGGCCTAAGTCTGAGTACACAACCAATCACATTTCTGGAGGATACTCCCCTCCTCTTGTTGGTCGTTTGGCCCATCGCTCGAGAAATCACAGCCCCAGCTCCTGGAAGGGGATTGACAGCTTCCCACAGGAGACAGCTGAACAGGGGGTGCTCATGAACTTTACTTGGGAAGCTCCCTATGTTTGTGAGTGCTGAGGAAAGCTGTCCGTCCCGTTGTTTGCACTTTTTATCCCCCCCCCCCCCCGCCCATTTTTTGGAACTCGTGCCTTGAAAAATGCCAAGGGCAAACTCCCAGCGGGGGACCTCGCAAGAGCTCATTGCCGCGCTCTGGACGATGCCATCCAACCGGGTGCCGCCTGCAAAGGCGGCTGGGCCCTTGATTTCAGCAGGTTTGTTCATTGGCTTGAAGCGTCACCACAGAGTATAACTTCTTTAGTTTTATCAGTCGTGCCTGTTCCCTTTCAAAACCATCCAGCAATTTTCAACAAACACCACAAAAGAAACCATATTACGCGAGTTGAAGGAGCTTGAAGCCACTATTCCCAGCGATTCCCGCCACCACTATAGCAACCATAAGAGTCGCAGAAAATGATGAGGCGTACCATCCCGACCCAAACTGAGTGCGTCAACATACTTGCCTTAATTAGGCCAGGAATTGGCCCAGTGTGTGGCTACGGCTTAGTGGGAAAGCGCTGCTGTTCAAGGATGTCACGCGGTCTTGATCTGATGAAGGCCAGCCGTGGTTCGCGACTGGTGTGGGTGGCGCAGCCGAATGCCTGGGCCACACTGCGTTTCCCACCTAGTGCGGCAGCTGTTGCTCGCTCACTGGCTTACTCACTCATTGTGGCGCCAAAGAAACAAGACAACTAATTATCTTCAAAATGCGGTCGGTGCACACCAACCGAATTGCAGAGACGAGATTCGTCCTTGGTCTAAAAGGAGACAACTGCACACGTCAGTTGCCGTCCCACAATTGCTCACCCAGACCCTGAGAATTCCAAACCTGTCTTTGACCTCCGTTTCATCTTCTGGTTTGCGGGCTCAATCATTTGTTTTGTTTGGGGGGGAGGCGGAGAAGGAATCAAAAAATGAAACTCTGTGCGCTAAGCCATATGCCTGCTGCCATGTCAGCCAGAAAGCTCAGGGCCAGGTGCCATTGGGCGCCCTTTCCTTACTCTCCAAATCAGGAAATCTCTGAATCACTTCCCGTCAACATTCATGCGCCCTCTTCGTGTATGTAATATATATATATATAGATATATCTATGTATATGTAGTTTGCCCCCCAGGCTAAGATTCCCTCGACAAAAACGCCAAAAAGGGTACCCTCAACAAAAACTTGTATAAGGCAATCTGTTTGACGCGTATGTGTGCATTTGCAAACCCATCATGACACCGACAGCTCTGAGTGGTCCGCTTTGCAACATCCCCAAAGCATATGGCACGGAAGGCTCAAAGTGAGCCAATTCTGCGCCAGACTTCGGCACTGCAATTGAGCATGAACACTTTGCTGGTTGCGAGGGAACATGCAAAGCTACGAGGGGTGAGGGATCAAAAAACTTATTAGGCATCAAACAAAAAAGTTCTGAAGATCAAAACAAATATTAGGGATCAAAAAAACTTATTATCATTGATTTACTACTACCAAAAAAAAAAGAGGATTAAAAAACAACATTTTAGGGACCAACAAAACTTATTCATTTCGTGGCAGGCGCAGCACTTTCGCAAGGTGCGGTGCGGATTTCGTGCAGACTTCGTGGCAGGCACAGTACTTTTGCGAGGTCAGGTACAGATTTCGCGGCAGGCGCAGCACTTTCGCAAGGTCAGGTACAGACTTCGTGGCAGGCACAGTACTTTTGCGAGGTCAGGTACAGATTTCGCGGCAGGCGCAGCACTTTCGCAAGGTGCAGCACAGCTTTCGCAGCAGGCGCAGCACTTTCGCAGGTGCGGTGCAGCTTTCGCGGCAGGCGCAGCACTTTCGCAAGGTCAGGTACAGATTTCGTGGCAGGCGCATTACTTTCGCAAGGTCAGGTACAGATTTCGCAGCAGGCGCAGCACTTTTGCAAGGTCAGGTACAGTTTTTTGATGCCTATCCCAAGCTAAACCGGGTCAAAGATTAAGTCCGACAAATACAGGCAAGCTTCGGCATGCCTTGATGGCCAGGCTGTAAGCAATCACGTCGCTCTGCACATGCTTCTTCAATGCCACCTGAAGCATGGTTGTGAAAAATGACCCTTATAGTGAAACCAACGTGAGTTTGTGTCAAAACAGGGGCGGCCCCAAAATTTCAATGTGTGGTTTCCTTTTGGATTCGCTTCAAAATCAACACACGCACACACGTATGGGTCAGTCACATGACTGCCTCCTCACTTTGAAGAGGACTCCCTTGCCATGACAAAACAAAGGCCCAACACCCAATTCCCGCAACCGTGCGCCTGGAACAAGTGAAGGGCCAACCCCCACTCCGAAATCTGCTCGCAGGCGCTGATCGCAGCAGAAATCGCCACAATGCCATCAGACAAAAACCGGGCTTCCAGCAAATGCAACACCTGGTGCCAGCTGCGTTGCCGCGAGGCTTTCAGCTCTGCGCCATGGCGCCCTGCTGCGCGCTCCATCCATGCCGTGCCAAGCCATCCTCTGCGCCGGCCCAGCGGCGAGTCGGCCGGCCGAGGAGGGACTCCAGCTCATGCTGACATAGCGAACCCAGCCGGGCGAAGGTAATCAACGCTGTCTTGCTGCATCTTGGCTTTGAAATCATGAGAAGCACCTGTTAGGCTTGCATGATGGCTTGCTTCAGCCTTGCTGGGTGAGTTCTCCATGGGGCGGCTTACTCACAAGTGATAACATGCCGTTTTGCAAGTGCAGCAGCGAACCAATGCAAGCATGCAATTTGGGAGACGTGCATCCCGAAGGGAACACGTACAGGTCCTTTGGCTTCTGGTCAGCCTCCTGCTTCTCGCGATGAACAGGACTGGTTGGCCCATCGAAGACTAGCAAGTCCTGGCAGCTGGCCAGGTCTACCGAAACCCAGGTGGGACGGTTTCCTTGTGGCTCTTTGTGCAAGCCAACCCCCGAATTCGGTGCCATGAAAAAAACACTCCCGTTTTGTCAAGCATGACTTTTACACGCGGACCAAAACCGGGAAATACCCGGTGGTCGTTTGACTGGGTTGTTCGGGGAGTTTGAGAACAACATGGCAGGGGAAACATGGTGGGTAGGGGCTCGGGTCGAACACCAGAGAGCTTCAATGTCCAGAACGGACACTTTGAGACACTGGGCGGAGACATCGGTTCTTAATTGGAGCCCCCCATGCGTCTGACTCCAATGCTTGAAACCAACAAGCAACCGGTCCTGAGCCATTCCCGCAAGAGGCCACGAAGGTCCACGAGTTTTGATCTCAAACGGCACTCAGGCACATGCACCCGTCACATGCGTGGGCGCTCCCTTCAAAGGACCCAGGACCCTGCACTCGGACAGCCCGAAGAAGTTGTCGAGTCCGACAGTTGCCAATGCTGGCCGGTTACAAATGATTGAAACCCAAACAGGCAAAAGGGCAAAGGGGCAGCAAAGTGACCTAAGAATGGGACTGAGCTGAAGTTTACTCCAGTCAAGGATAGATCTCATCCACTTACTGCATCACAGGGAGGCAGTCATGCTGTTTGGCTCAACTCTGGCGGATTCTTCTTGAGTGAACCTCAGTGCTAGGTTTTGCACGGAGTCCTCAGACCTTCACTGATGATGTGCAAAAATTGACTGCTGCCAGAACTGTCCAGCCGCCCGCTCAAGGCTCCGATGCCGCTCCGATGGCATCGCCTTTCTTCTGCTTCAAAGAAAGCGTCTCTGGGCAACTCCAGTTCCAGACTGAGCTCCAAATCCTTCTTCCCATAGACGTCGTTGTTGAGCTGCTTACGCATCCACAGGCCAAGCTGGCCATAGAAATGAGGCCCATGAGCCCCCATAGGCCCTGCTGGTCCAGTGAGAAGGCGAGCGCCGCGACGATGCCCGCCAGCACGACGGCCCAGACCAAAAAAATAAGCCCATGATGTTCGACGCTCTGTCCAGCGGCTTGGTCGTCGCTTGCCAGTCCGAGTCTGTGACCAGAGCCGAGCAAGAAGTCCTTAAACAAGGCATCCAATTTCTGTGGGTCACTGAGTGGGGAATGATCAACTTTGTCTACCTGACGGCAGTCAATGAAGGAGGCCGTAGAGAGTGTGGTTTCAGTCCAGGTCAATGTTGCCAAGCTTCTCTCTTCTGGAGGGCCTCACCCTCTTCTTTCTCCAAATGACCAACACATTTGAAGCAGAAGAAAGGCCTACCTCCACGAGCGTCGCATCTTTGTCCAGCAACTTGTGGCCTTCCAGCACCACCTCCGCCACAGTTGTCTGGCGCGTCAGCTCGTCCCAATCTTGAGACTCTTTGATCTGCCGTTCAAACTCCCCCACGGTCATCTCAGGCTTGCCCTCGAGAATGATGGTGTTGCCGCTAAGCTGCTGCACCGAAACTTTCATTGCCATGGTCGGGGGCAAGCTGCAAACTACGAAACATGGACCTCTGCCACAAGCTATGTTGCGATCTCTGAGTAGAAGCACGCATCCCGAAGGCTTGCGCATCACTGTGTACTTGCGATTTCTCCCCCGCTTGTCGAGAGTAATTGTTTAATAATGTTTAATTATGTCGTCTGAATTTGCGGAATCAAAGCTGCTAACTGAGTGGTGGTTTTATTCCCTTTAAGATTGCATTGACGTATCAAGACCATCCGCGAAACCTTCCGCGACGAGCATGTTTCTATATACGTTTACATAAGATTTGTATAAGTGCTTCCGCGGGCCTTTCGCAGGCAAGTTGCTTCTGGAAACTGAGGAAGGTAGATTCCGCGAGAGAATTCGTGTGCAAGGTTTGCTAGTAAACGTGCTTGGCAACAACCACCCGACCGAAACCAAACTACTACTTGCAACTCAACAAGGTCCCTTCCGCAAGCTTCCGCGGGAACAAAACATTCCGCAAACCTACCTTTTTCGTTAATATGCCAACATCTATACATTGTCTGCTAGAGCGGGAAAAAGAAAAAACACCACTCAACTGCTACCTGGCATTGCAACATGGGGGCAAAGCTTGGCGGCCCTCAGCCTTTGGAAACCGTTGCGCAACACGAACCTCCGCATCTTTCAAAAATATGTGGACGCTGTACAAATTTGACTTCCAACCTAACAGTGCACCAAAAACCGTGCGACTCCGAGTATTCAGTATAGGTTTCCAAGGGAATGCTGTGGGGAAGGGAATGACTACTTCTGTGTTACAACAGAAAGGGCGGAACCCCTAAGACTATTTTCTTCCTATAAAGGGGGATTCCCTTGTATCACACAAGTGGGGGAGAAACCCCTTGATCCCACAACCCTGTTTCCAAGGGAATGCTTCTTAAACACGCACAGATACGAACAGGATCATGCCTGATTACCTATAGGCACTCGTCTGGAATTGGAAACGCTTCCTGATTGACCCCAGCTTCAGTGTCATGCGGGGTTACATTGCCCTGCCAAGTGGGAACCCGGCTGAATCGCCAGCCTAGCGGGACTCAACCTGGGCCAAAGGAGATCCAAGAGGCAGATTACATCAGATTCAACAACCTGGTCGCGGTGTTCCCCAGCGTATAAGAAATGGACAACCCCCTTAACTGGAACGCCCAGTGGCTTCTACGAAGCTTCCATCTGGGGAAGCAGGATCCAACTCATCTGGCAATCCAGCTCACGGGCTGCAGCTCTTTTGTGAGCGGGTGGCTCGGAGCTGATGTTCCCAGGGGCTTCAAGGGTGGCCTCAAGGGCTGTACATGAGGGCACAGCCGAAATGCGAAAACTGCGGCGAGATGACAAGATCTCTACGCCGGAAGGCTCACTTCCGATGAATTCGCTTCGAGCTCACGAACATTTCTCCAAAGCATGGGAAACCCATGTACCACGGCCTGCGTGATGCTTTTCTGCATCGCCTGCGGCTTTCCGAAAAGGGGCTACCATCTCAGTGCGAGGTCTTCTGGATGACTGCATTGAACTCCTCCTCGGTCGGGAAGTCCCCGAAGTAGAAGTTCTGGTTCCGCCGGATCTCCTCAAGGCGCTGAAGGAGAAAACCAACTTGCTGCTGGTTTCTGCGCCTACCGTAGTAATGTAACATTCGGCAAATTGTGCGATAATTCTGAAGCTGAATTAAGGGACGGTGAGCTCGTTTTACCTCCAGGTGAGCTCACTGCAAATTAGGCAGAACGTTCCTCTGGGCCTCTTTGGCCAAAAATGGGCCCCAGAATCCGCCACCAGTAGTAGGATGCAACTACAGCAAGCGGCAGGGAAACCACTACCATCTGGCACAAGGATCTCGCAAATAAAGAGCCCAAAAAAAGGAAAACCCAAAAGTTGTGTGCGCATGTTTTCCTTTGGTTTGCCCTTGCTTTCCCTTCAACTGCGTAAATTCTCAACTTCCTGCACTCTTGCACTCTGGTCGCCAAGCTTGGTGTGCCCCCCCCCTTTTCGGGGGTGCCAAGTCGAGTCGCCGAGAAGGGCATGAGGTTGGTGGTGAGCAAAGTTTGCAGCGGGGGCTCGGCGACGCCGAGCTTGCTGAGCAGCGTCCCTGCCAAGGAGGCCTCGGATCGAACATCGGCCAGGGAGCCCTTTGGTTGGCATGGCTCAAGTTGGAACCCAAGGAAGGATATCCACTCAGATTGAGGCGGTTGAAATGAGAGATTCCAGTCTAGTCCTTGAGTGGAGAGGTTAGAATAAGGGTACCATTTTTTGCAGTGTAGGGGAACCCTCCCAACCAAAAACGAATCGGAGAGCTGGGGGACCTAGATGATAACCCCATGCTGTGGGTCAATAACAGGTACCCAAAATGCACCCCTTGGCTGACCGGACACAAAAAACATCTGCGCCAGGGCGCCAACCCGTAGAGCGCCTTGCGAATCGGCCCGGCCGAGTCTCCAGGGCCCAGCGACAGGTCCAGCAGCGCATGACCCTCCGGCACCTGGCTGCGAGCCGATGGCCCAGGGCCAGGGTCCCGAAACGGAAAACCCGCTGCTGCGATACAAAAAGAGCCGGGAAAAGAGAAAAAGACGTAGCCTCCGTAGAACAAAAAGGGCGAAAAAACAAAGAAAAGACAAAGACTTAGCCTCCGTAGAAATTTTGGGAGATTCCCTTGTGTCACAGTGGGGATAAGCCCCTTGATCCCACAACCCTGTCCAATGTTCGGTGCTCACCTGGGTCAAAGGCAGAACATGCACCGCCTTTTGGGTGGGTGATAAGCAGAACAACGGGGGTCCACGGAAAAACCAGGTGGAGCAAAGTTGTCTACGCTTTTAGCAGCACAATGGTTCAGCCTTACAAAGCCGGTCGTGAACGCTTGGCAAAACTGGATGGGGGGCATGGGCAAACGTCATCTGCATGTCGCGCTGGCAAAAACATTCCCGTGCCTCCCAACAAGAAGTCCGGCGCAAGGCAAAACAGCAAGTTTCGTGTTTGTTATTCCCTGCCTCGCCTTAGCAAAGACAATCAGCATACTGGAATTACATTGCCTGCAGCACACTCTCACATCAATCGAGTTCTGTTCCTTGACTCCAGCGACTCGAGAGTGACACCCAAGCAACCCAAATGGCCCACATGAGAAGCACATTTTATCCGCGGGGTCCATGGGTGGGTGGCAGCCCCTCCCGCCACATCCCCACAGCCACCTGGCGCTGAGAGTATCTCTCCAGGGCCTCTGGCACGCAGTCAGCACCTTGCGCTTGCCTTGGGTTGCCATGAGTGGACCCAGCTCTGTGCCCTTTGCTCCCCGCTCTCAAGCAATCCAACACGCACGCTCAAACTACGGCAGCCCCGAAAAAAACGGTGTTCCTTTCCGTTGGTTCCTTTTAAAACCCAACCCAAAAAGTGTACCCCACCCCCCGACGCCCCCCCCAAACAAAAACAGAAGGGGAAAACACAAAAGCCCCACACATAAGGTAGACGCCCACAGAACAAAGGTGCAATCCCCTGAGCTTCCAGCAAAATCTCAGCCAATGCCACTGAGTCCTGTCAATCCATGCATTCCCAGTAACCAGTGACCTGAACGGTAGAACAAGGGAAACCCTCTGATTCATTTTTGGGGGGACCGCGAGCCGCCAAACAAAACGATTTAATTGCCGCTGAACGGGGTCTCCGTTTACAAGGGGCCTCGACCTCAAGGCCTTAGTCAAGCTTCCTACCCGGCAGGTTGACAGCGTTTCCAAGAAAAGCAGCAACCTACTTTGAACGGGCTTCCGCCCGCTTTGAACTGGCAGCCTGAAGTTGATGTCGACTGGAAGGTCTGTTTGAGCCACCCTCGGGAGTCCTATTTGCACACTTGCAACTGCAAGCGGTTTCTTGGGCGGCATAGCACTGCGGCAGCCAGGCCCGGGCCTCTTGGCACAGCGCCCTATGGGGCGGTGTCCTTTTCATGTCTCTCAAAAACCTGGGCTGTTCAAAACGCAGGGTTGGCCACTCCTAATCCATAATCTTTATAGGGAAGCCACTACAAAAGGGACCTCATTGCGTAACCGAAGGTAAGGATTAAGGATTAAGGATTACCTTTGAACAGCCCAGTTAACCACCCCAACAGGTGGCGCCAACTCAAATCTAGAATCTAGATGTGCTGACATGTTCATGTTGCGGGCTGTTCGGAAAGAGTGCATTGGGCCTTGTTGCCCTTGCATCCTCGGTACTTGTGGGGCAAAGCGGTATGCCGCGTTGGAGCAAGCCTGCCATGTGCCATGGTCAAATCTCCCGGTGTTGGCCATGGTTTTGGCTCTGGGCCCATGATTGTTTACAACACCCTTATTAAAAGAAGGTTAATGACCATTCCTACTGTGCACGGAAGAAACCCCGCCCGCACAAGTTGATCGGTGGTTGGCTCCACGGACAGGCCTCCATCCATCCCAACTGATGAAAAGCAGATCTTTCCTATCCACAGCACAAACGTAAACACATGATTCTCATGTCATAGCGTCGGTTGTCGTTAAACAAAAAGGATGAATGACCACCACCAGAAACCAAGTAAATCCCGGTGCCTTGAGCGCCCCGTACCTTGCCCCGATGCCCCGAAGTGGCAAGGTCCTGCAACGCGGAGTTGCAGCCCTGGCCGCTGGCGCCCCCCGTGGAGTGTGCCGCGTCCCCTAAGAGCACGGCGCCTGAGTGAGCGGCGCCCCACGAAAGCCATTTTTGGGAAATCAGATGGCCCTGGTAGTTCATTGAACCACCAGGTAAACCAGGAATTGCCCTCTATTTTTCAACCAAATCAACCAAACAGGACACCTATGACCGAAGCGCTGTGGCAAATACATGGCACTCCAACAACCGGCGATTCCGTGGGTCCGAACCTCAGGTTGGGGTCCGAAAAAGCCTCCAGTTGCTGAGGAAGATCTGGGCGGTTGTCAAAATTTGCTACCCTCCCACCAAGTAACCTGGAACCTGACGTTCGGGAGAATGGGCTTCCAGGACGCCCCGAACGTCAGGTGGGAGGGTAGAGGGGGCTAAAAAAATGATCAGACACACACACACACACACACACTACCACTACCACTCCTGTGATCATGATCTGATTTGCAGTTCCCTTGTAGTATATACCTCTTGTTGGTTGAAAAGCGTGCCATGCGTACCTAACTAAATCCAAGAAGCGTCAAAGCGGACAGCAAGGTCGTAAAAAGAAAAACAACTAGTGCCCTGGAACCTAGAACTTGAACAGGCCTCCTATCCACATCCATTGTTGGAGTTGACATTCGGGATTCCCCCTTAAAAAATATTCCCTTTGCATAGACCCGATTCTTGCAGAAGCTGCGGTAGCCCTGTAGGTGCCTTCGCGCCTGGGTTCGATGAGATGACAGACTCACCCCCAGCTTGAGCGATATGGCTTACATTGGGTGACGAGCCCAGTGAAGTTGCAAGTGAGCCGGCCAAGATAAATTGGAGTGTCGCCCGCGTTTGCTGCTCAATCGTAAGGCATTAAAGGCAATTTAAGAAGCCAGCCGGCCAAAGACCCACCCTACACCCGCGACGGCACTTCCGCGACACTAAACAAGACACTCAAAGCGACTCAACACTGGGCACTGCCAACTTGCACCAAAGCTGCATGCGAGCCAGCCGACCTCGCAAAAAAAAAGGCGCTGCGGTACAGCTCGTTCAACAACACGGCCGCCCGGGTCGTCCAAAGGACTAAAATGCCACGAGGCGCGGCCGAAGTGGTAGCTGTTGCATCGCACGGTGGAGGCTTGGGAGGCCTCGGGCTGGATATGTTTGGCCCAGGGGACAACTCAGAATGCCCAAGCACATTGCTGCACCTGTGCCCATCTTGTTTTGGGGGATACCCGCGAAATGGGTAGCTTTCCTCTTCGTTTCCCTTTGAATGCAGCCAAAAAAAGGGGCGCCCAGATGACAACAGGCCAATCTGAAGCTATGCAACATTGGCTTCGAGGTTTGCGAATTGAACTGTTGCAAGTGCTTTGCTTCCTGGATACACTCAAGCGCAGGTGTGCTGGGAGTTGGCAAATTCCGGCTGCATGCCAAAGGTGCAGAAGGTTCCAAAGACATCAGTTTCACTCAAAGGGGAGGGAAACACAGTTTTGTCAACAACGGGGGAACCCGGGACCTTAAAAGGAACGAACCCCTCCGTGACTGCGACCTCTCCCTTAACCTTGGGGCTAGCGCGGTGCAACGCGCTGTTTTCAGCACTTGAGCCAAAGCAGTGATTGGATCATGCTCTGGCATTGACTTGAATGTACAACATGCAACTGACTACATGAGAACCTACCTCATGTACCTCTGGGCCATAAATGTCATCGTGATAATTGACTCCCCCCTCATTGACGGCACTGAGGGAGTGTCTTGGGCGCATTACCACGCCAACTTGAAGTCAAGTTTACATCACAACGACTGACACAAGTTATTCAAGCATCACCCAGGCACTTTGCACACTTTTGGAAATTTTGCGGACATGCTGCAGCGCACTAGGCAGCTGCTTTAGCGGCTCTACTCTCACGAACGTCTTCAAGCTTCTCTGGAAGGTCAACACGAATGCCGAGCAACCGGATGGCATGGTCCCACTTGTTGGGTGGAAGTGCTTTCGTGAAGATGTCCGCTGACTGCATGTCGGTTTGGACGTATTCTATCGAGATGTGTTCGCTTTCAAGCTGCTCTGCGATGCACGCGAGGTTCACCTTGTGCGTTCGCTGGACACAGCGTAGCTTGGATGAGAAACCTTTCCTTGCTACGAGGATAGTCGCCTGATTGTCCTCGTGGATCTTGAGATGGAATGGTCGGTCCAAGATCAGCTCCCACAAGCTAAGCGCAGGGAGCGCCTCCTGATAAAGGGAGTATGCGAGAGATACAATCTCCGCCTCGGTCGTTGATCGGGAGACCGATGTCTGCCTTTTGGACACCCACGCAAGCGGAAAATGCGTGTGCGGACCACTCAAAATCAAGAATCCTCCGGACGTGGATTTTGCATCTCGCTCTCCGGCGAAATCGGCGTCCACATAAAGAGACAGATGCAAATCCTCAGTCGAATCTTGAACTGCGCCTACTAGCGTGCTGTTGACCGTGCTGTTTATGTAGCAAACAAGCCTATGTAGCTGCTTATCGCAGTTTCTAGACCATTTTTGAACAAATGAGGCAAGGTCGCCAATGGGCTTGACCAGGTCTGGGCGTGCCAAACGGCCGAGCCATAAGGCTTTCATCAACACGCGGCAAGCGGCGAAGCCGAGCTCACCCTCCAAGGCGTCATCTGCAGGATCGAGGGATCCAGCAGGACAGAATGGAGTGGTGGCATCACGCAACTTTTCATTTTTTAGCTGTGCAACCTCAAGATATAATGCCACCGTTTGACGGGCATAATCCCGCATGTCGAACGCCATGCCCCCTTTCAATCTGCCCATTGCGGCGTTAAGATCGGGTTCAGTTGGGTCCTTTGGAGCATCTATCAAAAGGTGGTTCCTGCCTAGCACCCGGTATATGTCTTCTGGGGGTTCTATATCAACCAGTCTTGTTAACTTTTCCCAGAAGTCTTTATGAAGGTGGCTGGGGCCGGCCAACGTCAAGTCGTCGACGTATGTCGAGAGAAGTAACCCGGACTCCTTGAACCAGAAGTTTCCAGGAAACTCTGCGACCTCACGCCCTCCAAGTTCACTAATGAAACCTTTGAGGTGTGCCTCCCAGAGTCCGCCAGCGTCAGGATGCCCATAAAGAGCTTTAACGAGCAAAACCACAGGTTTCACGAAACGCTCGCGCCACCACCTTGGCCGGAGCTCAGGCGGGAGTGTGATCCAAGTTTGGTACTTGGACTTCAGCAGTGCTTGCACATAAGCCTTTATAGCGTCCGCTGTTGTGGTGGAATTCCCTGGCAGGGATCCATAAGCGAGACAGTTATTAAGACCTTGTACGCTCGTGGGATTTGCTCCCAACTCTTGGTAGACAGCTGCTGCGCCATGTTCGTCTTTCGCACAGTCTCCGCGATACACAATCCTACCTTTCATCTTCTGAAGGTGTTTCGCGAGTTCGGCGAACTTGACGGATGCTAGCGACATCAACTGCCCGAAATGAACTTTTATACTGGATCGTCGCGCCTCAGCAGCGACTTGATCATACTCTCGGACTGAATTTAGATCCCAAGCACCGGCTTTCTCCAGGCCTGTGGCTTCAAGTCGAACGGCTTCAAGAGCTTCCGGGGAAGCCAACATTTCGGCACGTGACAAGAGTCTGGTCACCATTGCGGTGATCTCAGGATCCTTCTTCTCTGTGACTTGTCCTAGGGAATGTGCGATGAGATTTTCAACATCAAGAACTTGCTCAAGAATGTTGTGACACTTTTCATCTGACTCAACAGCAACACCTATATCTTCCAAACCGGAGAGAGGGGATATGTGCTTCAACTGCTGTTCACGTTCCCGGTGATCGAGAGGCAATGGCACTTGGACAGGCATCGCAGGCACAACGGGTTGAACTGTCGGATACAGCGCACGGGCAACTGTGAGACACATGCCTTCGGGGTAGAAAGCGGTCTTTGCGGTCTTGTTACCTGCTGCAAGCGAATGTTTATACCCTTTTTCGTGCGGACACTTGAATGCACCTAGTGCGGATGCGAGTGTGCTATTGCTGGTCATGACTTTCCATGGCTTCTTGATGGGATAACCATTGCTGTCCTTAAGACCTAGGGCGCAACCATGGAAGGTCGCTGGGGTGAAGACGTGTGCGTATTCTCTAAAGAATGCAGAAACATCATCCCTAGCCCAGCTATCGCAATCCCTTGGCCATTCAAACGAAACACTACCCCCCTGATGGAGGACAGTCTCTGCGTGACGTCTGAATCTGGAGAACAACTCTCTCGACTCTCTAACCTTTTGCTTCAGTTTCTTTTTGAACTGGCTTCCTAACTTGGCCTTATTAAGGCGTTGCCATGCTGAACCTGATGTACAGGGAATTGCGGCCCAGAGATTGGGTTTATCACAACCTTCAATCTGTGACTGCAACTGGATTTCTCCTTCATCTGTGCTGAGGTCGATAAACTCTTTAGCCAGCCTAACATGAGGTATGCCAAGACCCTCAAACACGCGACCCATGTTGGACTCTGGTGAGCATGCGTATTCGAACATCACAGGCAACTTGTCAATACGTGCCTGTTTCTTGCGGGCACGATGGTTTCCAACCTCAAAATGCTTGCGCTGTGGAGCTTCAACCTCTGCGCTGCATGGCATGCCAAAAATTGGCAATGTGTTCGGACGACCGTTCTTTGACGCTTCGGTGAGAGGTGTCGGCGGTACGGAGTCTAACATCACGGCTGCACCTGTGGTGATAACACAATCGGACTGAATGGGTTTTAACTTGAACACTGTGAACCCGGTCCATGCGCCTCCAAGTGAGCGATTGGGTCGGCTACCAAACCAACCATCGTGGATGTTGTCTGCTTTGCCCCCCTGAAACACGGCACGAGTGGTGCGAGCTGCAGTAAATCTTTCTGGGGAAACGGGGCAATCCTCGACCTCTTTTGGGGTAAAAAGATTCTGCCTTGGCATGATATGGTATCGAACCAAACAGTTGGCATTTTCTTTGAACACCCAAAAATCTTCACCTTGCGATGTAGCGGCTGTCGCTGGCGCGGTATCGAAAAATGAGCCGCCGGGTCTTGAGGGAGCGGGCTCCCCAGCTTCGGCTGCATCAAATTCATGCGCAACATCTTCTGCACTAACTGCGGGCTTAGGATCCTCTCCATGCTCGGATGCGTGGATTGCTCTAGCTAGCTCCTCATCCCCTTCAGCATGAACAATGGGAATGGGTTCCTTAGATTCAGTTTTGGCAGCGCTTTTTGCAGCTGCTTCAGCTCGATCTGCAGAAACAAGTTCGGAGAACCTCTTCTTGCATTCGGTACTGTGAATCTTGGAATGACCGGTGCATGCACGGCAACCTGGCGTTTCCTTGAACTTGATGATCCTCTCAACAGTTATGTACACGGATTTTGACTTGACAGCGGATGGAGTCGGTGGGGCACCAAAGGGCGCCTCTCGCAGGGGCATAGGTGGGGGATCAGACCCTTCTGTCTTGCCACCACGCAATGCTCTATCTGCTGCTGCTGCAATCGGAAAGCTTGGGGGTCCGTCTTCAACGAACAATTCCGGTTCGGGAACATCGTGAACGGAAATGGAACCATCTTTGCGGAAGGCTTCATAGTCCATGATCTTGACCACGTTACGGTACCGCAACCCCGGATCGACCCTCCAACCCAAAAAGAGCGCAGGCGCCATGTTCGGGTCGAGAGTGAGCTTGCCAGGAGTCTTGGTTCTGTACCAAACCAATTGCCCGAAACAGCATCTCTTACCTTGGAACTTTTCCTTGGTGAGGGCTTCCCATTGGGTTTTCCCTGGGCTGAATGGTGCAGGCCTGTCGAACGACATGGAGAGACATGCAAATGGGTAACTAAACGTATGCAACGAATAGGGCAACCCTGATTGCATGTGGATGCTGCGGCAGCATTCCTTCTCTTCGCGAATGTCGCGCTCCAGAACGGTGTTGTGTGGCCACCTGTTCGGTAAGCTTGTCTCGGGGACGAGACCGACTTCGTGGGCCGCTCCTTCGAGCTCTCCTGCTGCATCCATTTTTACTAGACATGTTGGCGAATCAGTGGCCCGAAGGCCCATGAACTGACGGAAGTTTTTGACATGCGCTTGCGTGTCCCGCCTACTCACAGGGTAGGCAAGTCGAACGCCTGAGAAAACATCACGTACTACATGGT